GAAGTGAAGCACTTGTCTAGAGCCAAACCTTATTACTAAATACAACTTAGAGCACCAAGATACACAGTTGGCAATTAGGACACAATTTGTATCGACTGTTTAAAAGTAAACTTACGGTAAACAAACATGTCTGTAATTTATTTTCGAGTGCTATAAAACTGCCAATGACGTTATTTTTAAACTTTTTTTAAATACATATAGCGATGTAGAGTTTTTTAAGGTGTTGTCTAGACTATTCCATATGTTTACGCCTTTTACTGATATGCATCTCCCTTTCATGCTGGTTCTAAATGATTTTTTTTGGCAAACATGGGTTCCTTTTAAACTGTAGCCAGTGTCTCTGAGTTTAAACCTGATCTTAACACATTCAGGGAGCTCGTGGTTATGGACCTTATACATAGCTATAGCTGTACAGAGATCAGTTTAAAACCATAAGCATCTATGCTGCACACCTTGCCCATAGACCTCTGTTCTGCATAACAAAGGACATACTGGAATTCCTGTATTACACAAAAAAAGTTGCCACCAAAAAAGGCTTTAGCTTTGATTACAGCACACATTCGCTGTGGCGTTGTTTCGAGAAGCTTCTGCAAGGTCACCAGATTTATTTCTATCCAGTGTTGCATTAAAGTCTCACCAGGAACTTGCATTGATGATGATAGAGTCTGACCGCTGCTCGAAGCCTTCTCCAGCACATCCCAAAGATTCTCACTAGGGTTAAGGTCTGGACTCTGTGGTGGCTAATCCATGTGTGAAAATGATGCCTCATGCTCCCTGAACCACTCTTTCACTATCTGAGCCTGATGAATCCTGGCATTGTCATCAGGGAAGATGGAGTAACCTGGATGTTCAGGTGGTCAGCTGACCTCATTCTTGGAGCACATCCTGTAGCTGAACCTCGACCTGACCACCTGCAGCAAGCCCAGATCATGGCACTGCCCCCACAGGCTAGTACAGTAGGCACTAGGCATGATGGGTGCATCACTTCTGCCTCTCTTCTTACCCTGATGCACCATCACTCTGGAACAGGGTCCATCTGGACTCATCAGACCAATTTTAGTCAGTTTAGTTTTAGTCGTTTCTGCATCTCCTTAGATGTTTTCTCTGATTGATGCACGCCAATGATCTGACCCTTCTAAAAAACACTGACATTTTTTCCACGACCACCAGATGTGTCTTTACACACGGTTGTTTAAGAAATGAGAAGCAGCTCATTGCACCAGTTGGGTTTGTCACACCCGGTCATGTCTCCCCGTTTAGTTCAGCCTTGTGTCTCGTTGATTACTCCCACCTGCCTCTCGTTTCCCAATCACCTTAGCTCCCAACCCTCCTGTATTTAAACCCTGTCTGTTCTTTGTACTGTGTCGGATCATTGTTTCATTGTCCAGCGTGCTTCAGTATTAAAACCCTTTGAATGTGCTCACCTGTCTGCCTGTTTTCCTGCTCCGCGTTGGATCCTCATCTCAGCTCCGTTCCTCTCTGTCAGCAGCCGTCTGAGCCGTTCACTTTTAGACACATGTACATCATTTATCTTTACTGTACTCATGTTTCTAATTAAAATTAAATGAACATGAAAACACAAAACAATTATGGTAGAAAATTTCTGAAATGCTATTGCCTTACTACTCTTGGTGCATGGAGAAATATCCTGCATAAAAGAAAAATGGCAATCAACCACTCTGCAGCTGTTAACCTATACTGACATACTTTGAGGAACTACAGTTACCTCTGAATGAGTGGAGCTCTGATCATGGCTAATTTTACACGTTTCATTTAAAATTAATTCAGGGTATTTAACCCTGCTCTCTAAAAACATTGGGTTGAAAAACAACTCAATTTAACCCAGCCACTTATAGGGTGCAATTTGTGAAGTCAAACAGTCATAACATAACAGCAATATTTTGGTTTATTTAGCTTACTAGCTAAATAACTCATAATAAAAAAAATAATTAGAGTTAATATTTCTAAGTCATGTTTTCACCATGTTATTCATACATTTATAAATGTTAAAGAGCCCAACTAAATATTAAGAAGAAGAAGAAGAAATCTTTCTATAGTGCCTCTCAAGATAAAAATCACAAAAACAAAAAAAATATTTTAAATATAAAAAATAATTTAGAAAAATATGTTTAAAATAACAAAAAGTAGACAATTGTGATAAAAAATGTAAAGAAAGAGAGAGAGTGAATAGGAAAGAGGGAAATCAGTTGATCCTGAGGAAGGTGGAATAGGTGGGGAGAGCAGAATAAAGAGAGTGGTGAAGAAGGTCATACAAAAGCCAGCTTGAACAAGTGAGTCTTCAGCTGCTTTTTAAAGGAGACCACTGAGTCCACTGATCTCAGGCTCAGGGGGAGAGAGGTCCAGAGTCTGGGGGCCACAGCAGCAAATGATCTGTCACCTTTGGTCTTTAGCCTGGTGCTGCACAACCAGTAGGCTTTGGTCACTGGACCTCAGGGACCTGCTGGGGGTGTAGGGACTGAGAAGATCACCAATGTATGATGGTGCTTGTCCATGTTAGCAAGCTAAATATTTAATTTAGTGTTAAATATAATTTTTATTAACAAAATATTTAGGTCAGACCAAAATATTTAGTTTGTAAAATAAATTTGTAATATAAAGGTAAATATTTATTTTACAAACTAAACATTTAGGTCAGGCAAAAATATTTAGTTTGTAAAATAAATATTTAATTAACTAAGTAAATATTTAATTTGGAGCTATTTTTTTTAGTTTACAAATATTTAGCTCCAAATAAAAAATTTATTTTTCAAAGAAATATTTTGATCTAAGCTAAGCATTTATTTTGGGGCTATACCCAGATTTTTAATTTGTAAACTAAATGTTTAGCTTCAAAATAACCTTTTAAATTGGAGCTAAATATTTAGTTTGTAAACTAAATATATAGCTACCAATAAAATATGTAGTAAGTACATTAAATATTTATTTTACAAACAAAATATTCAGGTAGCAAAATACATATTTCACTCCAAATTAAATATTTAGCTTGCAATCTAAATATTTAGTATGGAGTTTTACCATTTAAAAATGTATGAATAACATGGAAAAAATCACTTATTGAAAAATGAACTCCAATTTTTTTGTCTGATGGTGCACTAAATAGCCCAAAATACTGCTTTTAAATATATGACTCTTTGAAATTACAAATGGCACCCCATAGCCACTGGGTAATTAATGGTCACCCAGCACTGGGTTTCATTAACACAGAAAATTCCCAATGTGTTGAGTTGATTGTATACCCCAAACATTGGGTTATTGTTAGTAAAACCATTGGGTTGATCCTACCCAATTGCTGGTCATTATAACCCAGCATTTATGTTATTCTAACCATCACTGCTGGGTTATAATGACCTAACTAACGAGTTATTATATCTGTCCTATTTTTCTTCTTTATTCAATAACTATGTTGATCATTATAAATGTGTGCAAATCGTTAATATTACAGCATGTCCATTTTGTATCTAAATAATAAGATAAACACAAAGTGATTACATTAATAGAGGCTTGTTTAGTAAATTAATAACAATTAAATACCCCAGATAACCCATAACAAAAAAATCTAATATTTATAGTTACTTTTAAATGAGTCATGTAAAAATTAATTATTAAAAACAAATTAAATGTCTCAAAACTACTTTTATTGTCATATCAGAAATAGAATACAGACAGCAGACCAACACACACACACACACACACACACACACACACACACACACACACACACACACACACACACACACACACACACAGACACAGACAGAGACTTTTCATATGAAACAAACTGTTTTTAAAGCCTTACTTTTGAAAACTTCAGTCATAAAAAAGGGAGGTGACTGGCTTTTAAACACACAATCAGTGTTGAACAGATTCTTAGTCTCTGAGATGTAACCTCACCAAGCCTGGGGAGTCCAACTAGCAGGGAAACTGCACAAGGTTGCTGAAGCGGGACATTCCCATTTGATGAGATCAACACCTCTCTAGATGGCAGCTCTGTCAACTGGACAGCTCATTCAGGACTAATAGTTGGTTCTGTGGGAAACAGAAGTATAAACTTCTAATTAACATTGGGAATATTGAGCTTAGAATCAGAATCAGGATAGGTTTATTGCCATTGTCAGTGAACAAACAATTCACAAACTAGGAACTTGCTTTGGTACTAACGTGCTACATATAACATGAATAATACGTTTAAAAATAAAATAAAATATAATAAAAAACTAGAATAAAACATTCAGCTATAAAAAAGGCAGGTAATGGTAACATGGCCGATAACATGACGTTATGTCAAGTACAGCAGACGAACATGGTTGTGTATTTATAAGCTGTTCACAAGTCTAACGGCAGATGGAAAGAAGCTGTTCTTATGGCGGGAGGTTCTGGTCCGGATGGACCGTAACCTCCTGCCTGAGGGGAGCGGCTCAAAAGTCTGTGACCCGGGTGAGAAGGGTCAGCTGCTATCCGACCTGCACGCTCCCGAGTTCTGGAGACGTACAGGTCCTGGAGTGATGGAAGGCTGCCGCCAATCACCTTCTCAGCAGAGCGCACAATGCGCTGCAGTCTATGTTTGTCCCTCACCGTGGCTCCAGCGTACCACACAGTGATGGAGGAGGTGAGGATGGACTCAATGATGGCCGTGTAAAACTGCACCATCATCTGGGCCGGCAGCTTGGACTTTTTCAACTGCCGCAGAAAGTACATCCTCTGCTGGGCCTTTTTGAGCAGGGAGCTGATGGATGGCTCCCACCTAAGGTCATGTGTGATGGTGGTTCCGAGGAAGCGGAAGGAGTCCACAGTGGTGACGGGGGAGCCCGTCAGGACGAGGGGGAGAGATGGGGCTGTGACTTTCCTGAAGTCCACAATCATCTCCACTGTCTTCTGAGCATTGAGCTCCAGGTTGTTGCTGCTGCACCAGTACACCAGCTTACTACATAAAGCAAAGAGTTATATAAAAGAGGTCTAAATAGTCTATGTACCAGTGAATTAGGCCTGCTTCTTGGGGTTCCAGTGGTGCTGAATTCTTCTTCCTGGAAGAACAAACCCTTTACTTTGCATAAAGGCTGCTCCAGAAATCCAGTTGTTTGCCTGTTTTCTGCCAAAGAACCACCCCTGTGGCATTATTTAAAAAAGTAAGAAAAACAAATATTAGAAAAGCAAGATTTTGGAAGTTTGATTAATATCAAATTTTCTTTAAAATGGGAGTCAAAGCATGGGTGGAGACTTATTTCAACCAGACTTCCTGTTAGAAAAATACCTGGGAAAAAAGGCGTTGCCTGGAGGGCCAGAGAGAGCAGCACCGATGCATTGTATGGCAGCACAGCCTTCAACACCCCACCCCTCGCATGCGCTCTGAGAGTTTCTCAGTCCGTAAAAAGACTCGTTAACATGCGCGTGCACACGAGCACACACAAAGTGCAGACTCACCACCCAGGAGAAGAGCAGACACAGAAACTGACTGCAGGTAGGTGGATTTCCTGTTCACCTCCTTATTTGGAGGTTTTTCCTAAGGAGGCGAGCGGCGCCGAGCGCCAACGTGTCACACCAGCAGGAAAGTGGTTAAGCTAGGGGGAGGGGAGGCGAGACTCAGCAGGAGTCCAGTGCCGTGCAGCCACGCTGTACTGCACAGACGTCACCCTGCAGCTCCACAGCAATCAGCTGTGGCTGACTCTGAATCAGTGCAGAGCAGAGTTTTAACCTGAAGATGGAGATAGAATAACGGTTTTGGGCTGAAATATTTAATTTTAAGTAAGTTGCACTAAACCATCAAAATAATGATTAGGCATGTGTACAGCACTATTAGACACTGGTCTATATAGGTTATCAGCAAAAATAAGTACATTTCGGTGTTGCTCGCTCTTTAAACCTGGATCTGAGAGCTCCAGCAGTACCTGCCATTTGTTCTGATAGGATAAAAGAACAACAGCTATGTTTACATGCGCCAGATTTCCCCTCACTGATTCAAATCTCTAATCAGAAATCCCAAATCTATGTTTACATGGACACTAACTGAAAGGACCCCATCATGCCGTGCGTTTACACACACCAAACATTCAGTCAGATTAAATAGGTTGAGCATGCGCAGAGTTGTCTTTCCTGGAAAAAACTGTAAACAAACGTCATCTTGTCCGCACGTCTTTCCTCTTGCGTTTGATTTTCTTATTCTCTAACTTTGTACGTTGAATTAAGTTTTTTCCCCCCATTATGGACCTTCTTTGCCGTTTTACCTGTAAGCTTTTGTTTTTACTGATGGCTTTAACAAACTTAACTAAACTACAGGCTCACTACTGCTCCTCCGCCACAGGAGAGGAGAGCAGGAACACTTCTGTTTACCTCCCGCCGTGTTTTCGACTTGTTCTGTGTAGCTGCAAAGGTGGAAGGACGTCACGCTGAAGGTGCACACATGCGCAGTGGGCATTATTTTACTCCAAGAATCCGAATGAGTGTGTACATGTACGTCTATCGAAATGATGATCGGACAAAACCGCCTCTCTCAGAAATCCTCCCACTCCAATCAGAAGAAATCAAGTAATCATAAATCCAAACATCCATGTGTCTTCATCGTCTTCCACGGACAGCTGGGAGAGGCGTATAATATTCCACTCTTTCCAGGAATCCAAGATATATTCCACCGGACGCGTTCCGTCCGGACAAGATGGAGCCACCCGCTTCATTCTCATTGCGTTGAACGACCAGCTGACCAAATGTGTGATTTAATAAAATATTGAGCTTTCAGGAGGAAATCAGAGAAGCGCTCTGGACAAGAGCCTTGGGGGGAATAATTGGTATTAAAAAACAAATAAATAAATACACAAAATCTAAAGAAGAAAAATCAAAGGAAGGTTTCCGACTGGGTTTTGCTGCTGTACGGAGTCTTATTTAGCTTGTGGGTGACTTCCTGTCCATGTAAAGTAGACGTCTAAACATCACATACAGGCTTTGACTAATAGAGAAGCTGCATTATGAATCAGTCATGCAGAAACAATTAAAGCTTGAGGCTGCTCTTAAAGTCTTTTCACCTCTTTGGAAAATGAAATGAAGTGAATTAAGAAAAGAGGAGCGAGACGAAGAAAGGAGGTCAGAGGAGCTGAGGGCCAACAGGAACCCCTCGCTACAACCATTCTGGTCATCCTATTTGATTAATCACTGCTTAAGAAAATGGCTAAATATAGATGGCGTCTTTAGTTGGACTCGTGGCCTCAGTGGTTGTTAACCGCTCATCATGTGCAGCAGGACTCGATCTGCCTGCCCGTCGACGGGCTGAACAGGCTGAAGATCAGCGCGTCTCTAACAGCCTCAGGCTACCAGCTTTACTCCCAAATCACTGAGGTTTCTTTTAGAAATGTGGGGTCACAGAGAAGAAAAGAAAAGAACAATAAAAGAAATCCAGTATGGGCGATAAACCATGATGTGCTGTAGCGGAGGAGGGATGGAAACCCTCAGCAGAGCAGCAGAAGGATGCTCTGTAACTTATTTATGACATCCATATATCTTATTTATGACAAATGTGGGTTTTATGGATCCATGGCATGGACGGTTTTCCTAAATTTGTTACTCTTCATTGTAGATGGATTTCTGCAGAGGTCCTCTCTGATGATTATTAGAGGATGCAGCAGAAGAGAGGGCAGAGAGAAGATGCTGTGAAAACCCCATAAACAGACTACATATACCAGAGCATGAATCATTCATCGGGGGAAAACCACTGGCTTCTGTGCTTTCAGATAAAATACGCGGACAGACCACTGCTGATGCACTTCCACAACTATATGAAACATTCAGAGGAATAAGCTGGCTGATTTGTGGTTGCTCTCTTCTTCTGGATGTCTGTTGCAGATGTTTATCCAGACCACCACCCTGACAGTCTCCATGAGCCTGAGCGCCACCGTATCCTTGGGCATGCTCTACATCCCCAAGGTCTACGTCATCATCTTTCACCCGGAACAGAATGTCCAGAAGAGGAAACGCAGCTTCAAAGCTGTGGTGCAGGCGGCCACCGTGTCCACACGCCTGTCCCAGAAGTCCAGCGACAAGCAGAACGGAGAGTCCAAGGGGGAGCCCAGCAGGTCCCAGTGACATGATGAAAGGAACCCCACGGTCCTGCTACCTTAGATTAGAACTGGAACCAAAACACACACACACGCACGGACTGCAAGAACACTGAGTCATCGAAGATGGACCTATAAAATTTACCGTTGTCTTTTCTAACGTCCACTCTCCCTGGGAAACGGTTTGTTTCTTGTTTTTTTAGCTGAGCCCAGCAGGAAGCAGTACAGTCCTGTGAAACTATGTTCACCCCTAAAAGATCTCATCTGTGTTTCCTCTTGTCTCACTCTCAGCCAGAGTATGAAACCTGGTCCTGTGTGATTAAATGTATTAACGGCGTTTAACCAGATTATTTGGAAAGTGGTGTTCAGGCTCACTAACCACACTCAGATCTGATTACTTCAGTAGAACCTGACAACACGATGACTGCAAGATCTCAAAGAGCAGCTCGCCCTGCCCAATCTAAAGATCTATGTTCTAGAGGTCTATGTCCACGACTGAGGAGGGAAAGTGGTTGGCCACTGATTGGAAGGTATGCAGTTCAGTCCCAGGCCCGGCGGACCATAGGTTGAAGTATCTTTGGGCAAGGTGCAGAACCCTGAAGCTGTTCCCTGGGGAGGGGTCAGATGCAGACAAATCCTTTACCTAAGGGGATCTATAAAAGTATGAATATTTATCGTTAAAATAAAACAAAACATGGCTTCTATGGGAGAGTTTAGAGACCAAAACAACAACTCGTCTAACATATATCCCCAAAAAAGTCTTAATGATCCAAAGGACTTCTGGGTAAATAATCAGGATTTATGATACAACAGCAGAACGTTCTGGAAGGTGAGTGTCCCGTTCCATTTGGAGTCAAACGACAGCTTCAGGTCCACCCGCTGTAACCGATAGAACCGTGAATCCCGCTCTCTAGCAGAACATCTGACCTTTGACCCTAAAGAGGCCGTTCATGTTGATGTGGCTGAATTGAGACAAAAGGTGACTCCAGCTGTTGTTACAGCCGGGTTTTAGGTGTCAGCAGCTTTTAGCACAGAACCAGGTTGGTTTGGAAATGCTTTTCTCTCAACTATCATTTATGAACATTTGGTTTGAACTCAGCTCATCCTTGAGGCAGAAATCTAGTTGCTGCCCCCAAAAGGCGTGAAAACCAAAAGCAGCAGACGTCTGTTGGGAGGGAACTACTGCATCCAGCTCTGTAGGTGTCGGGGCAGACACACGGCTGAACCCTGGCTCCACAGGCACTGCATGGATTGTTATTTGCACACAGGAATTATTCCAAAGTGTTTATTTAATGTTTTTTTCTTCTCTTCACACAGGAATGAGATAGATTTACATCCATGGGAGGGTGTGACCCGTCTCAAAGCTTTAACGACTCTCGTACCGTTAGCTGTTGTTATGATACTAGCTGGTTCTTCATCGTGGCACAAACAGGATACTAGTGATTGTGAACAGGATGTTTATCCTCTACCTGGCACTTCTACTTTGCTATCATGGAAAACAATGCTTGGAATTTCCCCATATTGTTTAAATCTGCAGCGTTCTGTGGAAAGGTCATCCATGGGAATCTGATGGGTTGTGCCATGAGAAGTCCTCCATCAGAACTGTTTCATGTAACATTAAAATAAGTGACAAGCTCACTAGTGTACAGCTCAGGTGTCACCAGGGTTTTCTTGTGTTGTTTGAATATAAACGGGTTGCACGTCTCCTAAAGCAGAAGAGAACAGATTCATGTGAGACGTGTTCGTGCTGCCCTCTGCAGGAGAGCACAGCTCAGTGACATCATAAAAGAAACCTGGAAATGTTTGTAGACCACACAGAGACATTTAAATTAAAAAAACACTTTAATATTTATAAAATCCCTACACTTTATTTACATGCAGGACATCTATAGGCTATACAAGCTACATATGGAGCACAGAGATCAGCTGTTAGTGATCATTTCCACACCAACAGGAGTATCAGCAGAATCTACCCAAACAAAAGTGTTTGTGGTCATCAAAAAAATAAATAAACCAGCATTTTGGTGTCTGTGAAACGGTTAAAAAAACAACAACTCAGAATTATATTGTTCTGCTTGGACTCGCTCCGAGCCACAGCAGCAGCATCTGCACAGGTTACTGGAGGAACCCGTCTAGAGTCAGGCTGCTGGACATCGTGTTGGGAGGTCGAGTCACCTTTTTCCTTCTGGTCTTCATCAGCGGGCGAATCTCTGATAAAGGAGACTGGAGGGAAAGACCTGGTTAAGGAAAGATGACCCTGGATATGCTCCATGTTATCTAAACAATATAAATATATACTTATAAACATCTGCCAGATTAAATAATCTGAGCAACTATAAATACAGTTATTGAACTAAAAAATGTTTCTTAGATTTGTAAAGGATAAAGTATGGCTGGAGGAAACTGGTCCTCAGCACTTCAATAGGTGTAAAACAAACAGAGCTGTCATTTCGACAGATTGTGTCTTCTTCAGATGTTTCTGAGATTATTTGCCACGTTTATCTTAAGTTTAGTGTTACTAAGCAAGCAAGTTTTGATAAATGAAGGTAAAGCAGATTTTTTTATGATCAACTTATAAGACTAAAAGCGGTCAGTAGCATTAAATACCTTTAAAAAACCAAACATCTGTCACTCATAACGAGACTATTACGTGGCCTGATAGGGACATGAGATTATTATTAGGACTCAGCAGCTGCACGGACACAGCCAGATGTGGAGCACTTAAAAATAACAAGTGATGCTTGTTTAGGCAACGCATCAGAATTAAATAATGAAGCGGTTAAATCAGAGTTGCTGCTTCAAGCTCCTCGGATAAAAAAAAAAACCCACAAACCTTCATGAGAGCAGCTAGAAGAGTCAAACACTTCAAACGCTTCACACTATGTAATAAATACAAAATACATTATGTCTGATTTCATATGTGAGACGGTATCATTTATTTAAAAAGAGGTTATTTTCTCAAATGTGACATTATTAGGATGTTTTAATGATTTACAGGCAGATTTTTAGGCATTAAAGAGAAAATGTGTCATTTTTATCATTAATCTCGAAATATACATCAAAACGTTTAAAAAAAATGATGTCCAGTTGTTCAAAAATACTGGTGGCTTTGTAACATAGAACCATAAAAATCGAGTCTAAAGTAAACAGGATACGAGTATGACGTCTTTGGGGGATGCCATATTAGACGCCGTGTTTCCTTCTGGCTGGTTCGGGGTCCTGCGTCTGTCGGTGACATCACACTACAAGATTGGCTGTACATTCGACTTACGGAAGTTACGTTACCACGTTCAAAAACATTTGGGTAGTAAGAAACGTGAATTTAATAACAAAACTGCTAAACTCTTTCCAAAACATGCGAAAGAACAGAATTGGGGAAAAAAGATGCAATTTATTGTGGCAGAGCGGTGTTGCCGTAGTATGATGACATCATCAGCAGGCGCAGGACCCCGAGCAGATCCGGTAACTACAGTGCCAGAAGATTAGCACCAGCATTCTACCTTCTTGACAGATCAGAGTCCGAGGAGTCGCGCCGAGGTCAAATGCTTTCTGCTCCACGGGCAACAACATTTACCGTAATGTTTTTTTAAACTAGCGACAGTCAGTATTATGGTTAATGGTGCGTTCGATTTGTCCTCGGAACTCAGAAATCCTGACTTCTGAGCAGGAAAAATCAAATGAAATACCCCCAAAGTCGGACTTCCCAGTTGGAAACTCGGAAGAATTTCAGAACTCGACATCCAAAATGGCAGCTCTAGTTTACAAAACACACATATAAGAGTTCCTTTAAAACCAATGTTGCATGTAGCGCTTGCTCCTCTGAGCTGAACATACTAAACGTTTAGTTTGCATGTTGAACGTACAGCTTAAAGCTGTTATTAAGAGGAATCTACAAACAATGGCCACTTGGGAGGTGTGCACCGCTATACTGCAATCCTAACTGACTAACTAACCTGATAAGTATGTACTGCCCCCTAGCGCCAGAAAACTACACACTGACACTTTAGGAATTTAATATTCCAGTAAAATTATTTTTTTGTTTTTGAAAAAGCTTAAACACTTTCCAATTATCTACCAATTTACAACAAAGCCTTTTTAGATGAAGAAAAATAAAATTGAAAATATTTGTTTTAGTGCCTCATTGGTCTTGAGATCAAATGAAACCAGCAGCAGGTTGGATAAAAACAGATCAGCTTAGAAACGACTACGTCCATATGAGTTCCTATCATACTTATTATCATCAAATAAAAAGTCCAGATATACCTTTTATACAGGAATGCCTTCATTGTGCTTTTTGTTTGGTTAATTATTTTTATTTGCATGTGAGCTAAGTAATTAGTTTAAAATTACCAAATTTGGTTTATGTTTAAATACTAGTAGAAATACAGGTTAAACTGGGAAAATGAGAATTTGGTGCAAACATTTTTCATCACTAATCCAACCTAAACGGTGAAACTAGACTCATAACATCCAGATATTTCACATTTACTTGTTATAACTGACGACGAAGGCTTACAGCTGATGAAAACCCCACATCCAAAACCTCAGACTATTAGAATATTTTGCAATGGTTAAATATTCTAAACTCAAAAGTGTCACACTGTGATCAGCTGGTGGATCCAGAACACCTGCAGAGGGTTGCTGAGCCTTTTTCTAGCAGTTTTATCTGTACAAATAAAAACAAAAAACTAAAGCTGATGTATTTAAATTAATTTCTCAAACCTGTTTTATTAAATATTAAAAGCATCCAGTTGAACTTCCATGTTCACGAGTAAACATCAGCTCAGACAGTTGAATCTGTCAGAACCAACAACACGCTAAAGGACGGAAAGGATACGGGCTGGATGAACTTGGTTCTTCCTCCTAACCCATCATAACCCGTCCGGACCTGAAATAACAAACAGCATAAATGCAGGTAAACGACAGTATTCTCCAGCTCGGCGGCTGGGAGATGGCTGGTTTGTACGTACAACTCCAGCCTTCCTCTGAGGGTCCAACATGCTGCCTAAAGTCTTCTTCCTGAACAGGAGAGAGTTCCTAAAGGCAGGAATGCTGACGGGCTCCTGCCCTGGAGCCTTAGAGCAAAAACAGAATAAACTCAGAGGAAAAATCAGCAAACACAGAAACTGTTGTGACTGGAAGACTACCTTACTCACCGATGGACACGTCCCACTCTGCTTAGAGACAGGAGACCTAAAAAAATGCATTTGTTCAAAAATTGCTTGCTTTACCAGAGTATTTAACCACGTTCTGAGGAAGGGACGTGTTATGGACACGACTCCATCTTTCTAGGACTGGAAACATTTTAACCCAACGTACGCGGGGGGGTCGAGGCGCATCTTCTTGGGCGGGACAGGCGTTGACCTACTGGTCACGTGGCCAGGAGTGGTTATGTCATAGGTCAGGTTAAGGTCAAGCTCCTCATCAGCTGAGTGGTAGAGACGAGGGGGCTTCAGCTCCAGCGGAGCCGGGCTGCGGTGTGAACAAAGACACGTCACCATCTAACAGCTGAGCAAAGCCGGGGACATTTGGGACAGACTGCTGGACACACCTTTCAAACACAAGTCGACTGAGGGCTTCATTGGTGCGCGTTGGCGTGCTCAAGGTCTTCTGAAGGAACTCCACCTTTTTCTTGAGACTCTGTGGACAAAGTAAGAGAAGCGAGTCCAAACCTGTTCTGATAAAAGTCCGACATGCTTGTTTGAGTCCTCACAGAGATCTCTTTGTCAGCGTTGCTCAGATCCTTCTGAAGAGAGTTCTTCTCCTCTTTGGTCTGATTCACCTCCATCGCTGCTTTCTGCAGCTACAGTAAAAAACACACTGGAGTTAAAGTTCAAAGGGTGTGTGTGTGTGTGTGTGTGTGTGTGTGTTACCTTGGTGTTTGAGGACAGGACTTCTCTCTTCAGTTTCTCACACATCTCGTTGGAAGACTTGAGGTTCACTTTCAGGTTATCGTACTCTCTGTAACACGACGAGGAATATGAAATATACATCAGTCTCCCTACAACTGTGATTTTTACACATCGATTTAATGTTCAGTGTAAAAAAAGTACAGTTCAATCAAATGCATCAAAAATAAAAACCATAACAATTACTTATTTCATGCGAGAATTACTCTGGTTAGTTGGGATGCTGCCCCCGCGACCCGGATAAGCGGAGGAAGATGACGACGACGATTACTCTGGTTAGTTACATTCCCTCAGCCCGAATTACCACCTAAGATTCAGGTGTTCTGGTGTCTGCTGGTTTTTACTAATTCCACTTTTAAAGTATTGTTGGAAATGCAATAACACAGGTTACTAAGCCAATCTTCTATAAATCACTTAGCGTGTACATGTTAACTACTTCACTACATTTCTGGATCATTCTGCACCTAACTTAGAAGTAACTGACTAAGCAGTTAAAACTGATTTAAAATAAATAAAAGCAGATTAAATCACTTTAATTAAGCTGGAGCTTCTACTTAATGAACAGCTCCAGATTTCAGATGAATGGATCCTTTCCTTCAAATCTGTCCAAAGACTGGGGTTTATGCAAAGAATCTCACACACACACACACACACACACACACACACACACACACACACACACACACACACACACACACACACACACACACACCAGCGCTGTGACGCCCTTACTTTTTGAGGGATATGCAGTAGATGGAAAGCTGCTCCACAGACGCCGGGCTGACGCCCATGTCCGTGACCATGGACTCCACCTCGTCTCTCTGACCCTGTAACAACACGTCCAGTCTGGGGACAAAAACCATCACATTAAGGGGATGAAACTTTTTTCACAAATTTTGCCAAGAAAATTTACTTTTACTAAACAGAAACCTTTATAAAATCATGTAACATGTTTATCGTCTATATTTATGGAAAATATTTCACCCATGTAAGTATTTATACATGGATCTGGTTAGACCTAGACGTGTACTTATTTGACCCACAAATACCTTTCAAAGGTTTGGATTTTGGTCCTGAGTCTTCGAACCTCGTCCTTTGCAGCCTGAACGTCACTCTGTTGTGTCTCTAAATATGCCATCTGCTTCTGTGATCGTTTGAAACACGAGTTTACTCACAGTCAGTCAATCAGTCAAACTTTATTTATATAGCACTTAATCATGCAATACATGCAACTCAAAGTGCTTAACAAATTAAAAAGGCCCCACACACCCACATTCCCTCCCAAAGCCAGAATTTTAAAAACAGTCTGACAATAAGTAAGTAAGTAAGTAAGTAACTTTATTTGTATAGCACCTCTCACAGACAAAAAGGTCACAAAGTGCTTCACAAGTTAAAAGGCAACAACATATAAATACAGTAAAATACAGCCACAATATACATAGTGTCAAATAAAACCAATCTGAATGAGACTAAGTTTAAAATGCCTGGAGAAACAAATGGGTTTTAAGATTGCTCTTAAAAACATCAACTGAGTCGATTGAGCGTAAAGACAGAGGTAGCTCATTCCAGAGCCTAGGAGCGACGGCCTGGAATGAGCGATCTCCTCGTGTCCTGAACTGAGTACGTGGGACCATTAAAAGGTTTTGATCCATAGATCTCAGCCTGCGAGAAGGCGTGTAAGGGCAGAGCATGTCTCGAACATACAATGGAGCCAGACCATGCAGCGCTCTGAAAGTCAGCACAAGAATTTTAAAATTTGTGCGAAATGTGATAGGAAGCCAATGAAGAGCTTTTAAAATGGGTGTAATGTGGACCCTTCTGTTGTCACGGGTCAGAATTCTAGCTGCACAATTCTGGACTTGTTGTAAGCGGGACAGCTCTTTTTTGTTTAGACAAGAAAATAAACTATTACAGTAGTCTAAACGGGATGATGTAAACGCGTGAATAATCAACTCAAGATCAGCTTTAGACACCATTGTTCTGAGTTTAGAAATTTGTCTCAAGTGGTAAAAACAGTTTCTAGTTAACTGCTTTGCGTGATGTTCAAGAGACATTCCCTTGTCAAAGAAAACTCCAAGGTTTCTAAGGGTAGGTTTTACAGACAAGCTCAGATCACCTAACTGCTGGTGAATCCCTGGAGCAGCATCATCGGGGGCAATCACCAGTACTTCAGTTTTGTCTGAGTTCAGCCGTAAGGCATTTGCACCGAGCCACTGTTTGATTCGCTCAAAACATGATAATAAAGAATGCAATTTTTTAACGTCAGAAGGCTTGAAAGAACAATACAGCTGAAGATCATCAGCAAAGAGATGATAGGAAACATCATCGGCAAACTCCTGGATTAGGTTTCCTAAAGGAAGGATGTACAACAAGAACAAAATCGGGCCCAAAACTGAGCCCTGGGGTACTCCACACCGTAGATCAGTTGGGTCAGACAGGATCTGGTTGACTGAGACACTTAGGCTTCTCCCAGATAAATAGGATGTAAACCACGCCAGGACAGAACCTGACAACCCAACCAACTCGCGGAGCCTACTCAGCAAGATCTCATGGTTAACCGTGTCGAATGCGGACGAAAGGTCTAGTAAAACTAGGACCGTGCATTTCCCAGAGTCTGCGGACATCAAGATGTCATTGGACACTTTAAGCAGCGCAGTTTCCGTAGAGTGGTGCTTACGGAAACCGGACTGAAACCTGTCAAAGATATTGCGATCCTGTAAGAAGGAAACCAGTTGTTCAGATACCACTTTCTCTAAGACTTTGGACAGGAAAGGGAGTTTTGATATCGGTCTAAAATTTTTAGGATCTGTTGGATCCAGATTAGATTTTTTGAGTAGGGGTTCCACAAAAGCATGTTTAAAACAGCTGGGGAAAACGCCAGAAGAAAGGGACAGGTTAAACATTCTGGTAACCCAGGGACCAATGGCATCAAATACTTTTGAAAGGAGTTTACAAGGTAAGACATCAGCCAGGCAAAAAGAGGGCTTCATTGTGGTTACCAAAGCTAAAATATCATCCTGTGTTACAGGTGAGAAAGAGGACCACGCGTGCGCAGGGAGTTCATCAATATCATCATTACATGACTGAAAAGATGGGAGTTTGTCTTTGATATTTTGAATTTTATCAACAAAGTAATTAAGGAATTTGTTTGCATCTGCTTTGTTGAAAACAGGTGTAAGAGGCGCAGCAGGAGCCACAATAGAGCTAATAGTGTCAAATAAAACTTGTGGTTTTTTCTTGTTTTGGATAATCAGTTTGCGGAAGTATTCAGACCTGGATTTTTTTATCAGCTCATTTAGAGAAAGAATAAGGTCCTTAAGGTACAGCCTATGGACCTCGAGTTTAGTGGACTTCCACAGGCGTTCCGTTTTCCTGCACAGTCTTTTCAAGTTCTGAATGCTGTCATTTATCCAAGGAGAAAATGGTTTCCGAGTTACCCTGTTAGATTTAAAAGGAGCAACCACATCCAAAATGGATTTACAGCGACTATTTAGGCTGTGAATAAGGCTGTCCACATCCTGAGATTCCAAAAACAAATTGGAGTCAAACATCTCAATGAATCTAGCTGCTGTATTCTCTGAAATAATCCGCCTTTGTGGGATGACCACAGAAGGCGTAAACTCAAGATTAAAGTGTAAATCAAATAAAACACAGCTATGGTCACTCATGTGGACATCCTTCACACAAAGATTGGAAATATTCAGATCAAGGGAAAACACAAGGTCTAGAGTATGGCCTTTTTGATGGGTGGGGCCAGAGACATGCTGCTCAAAATTGAAAGATTCAGTCATTGTTAAAAGTTCCACTGCTGGGCCAGAAGTGCTGTCATCAATATGAATATTAAAATCTCCCAGAATTAAAACATTTTCCAGCTTTATGATAGAAGATAAAAAATCACTAAAATCCTTAAGAAAAGCTGTGGCTGGTCCAGGTGGGCGATAAATCAGCACACAGTAAAATGGAATAGATGAACCAATCTTGATTGTCTGTGATTCAAAAGAAGTAAAAGCTTGAGTGTTTAACACTTTGCAGATAAAAGTCTCCTAAAAACCCCTTCACAACACTCATCCTCTGGCACGCACACACACACACACACATGCAGACGCACACACACACACATGCAGACGCACACACACACACATGCCCCCACATGGAAAAAACACGATTGGCTGAGATCAGATGAGCCAAAATCAGCTAAGATAAGGATAAGGAAACGCCATCAGGGGAGCCATCTGCCCAGACAGCAGCAGATCCACAGCAGCAGCCGAGGCACTGACACAGGGCGCCCAGGGCAGGGAGGGCAGAGACCCCCACCTCCACCCAGGCACACCTGGAAAGCACCCAGGGCGCTACAGCCGACCACCGCCCCCGGGGAAGAGGGCTCCCACAGAGGAAACACTGGAAAAGGTTAAAATCTAAAATAATAAGAGCTAAAATGAGAATTGTAGTATAACAAGTTATATAGATATTAAAATAATGCTAATCATTACTCTATGGGAAAAAAGTGTGCTCCCGCCTCCTGGTCTTCGTCAGGACACGAGCTGCTGAGTTTTGTAATAGTTGTAAGCCTGAAATACTCATTTTTGGGAAGACCAGAAAGCAGGGCATTACAGTAGTCTATTCTACTGGTGATAAAAGCATCAGCATCTCCGTGTTGGCCCGAGAGAGAATGGGGCGGACTCTGGCGATGTTCTTTAGATGATAAAAACCTATTTTGGTGATATTTTTAATATGATGGATTAAAGTCAGGTTCTTTACTTGTGAAGATGGATTAAGAGACAGTGATTGTAACTTTGGTAAAAGCTTCTCTCTCTGGGCCTCAGGACCGGTAACTAAAACTTCAGTTTTGCCCTGGTTGAGCTGGAGAAAGTTTCCTGCCATCCAGGATTTGATGTCAAAAATGCAATAAAAAAGTTAGAGTTGCAGTTAAGAGTTTTTGGAGATCACATTTTTAACTCTGCTTACCTTAAGTGCTGTGCACAGCATCTCTTTGTCCATGATCTCCTTTCGAACACTGTCCAGGTCTCTCCTTTGCTTGTCCACAGTGTCCTTTAACCCATCTATTGCTTTCTGTTTGTCCTGCCAGTCTCGCTCTAAAAGTTCATCAAAGAGACAGACAGGTTAACAAGTATTACTAACCTATCACAATCCAACGCAACCACTACAGGATCTGGGTTTTCACCTTTCGAACTCATAAGTGCCCTCATCCGATCAACCTCATTCTGGGGAAATAAACAAATATAAACCAGATGTTTTTGACTGTCCGGTGTCCACTCAGAGTCTTTACTACCTGCAGGCTCTCTGGGTCAGCTGAGCCCTCCTCCTCACCCCCAATGTCAAAGAAAAGCTTGTTGATGATGTGTCTGGTGCTGACCTGTAAAGGGAGCACAAGCACTTGAGCTTAAAGAAAGGTTCCGGCTTTTGGCTGCTGCTGGGACTGTTACCTGCTTCCTGCACTGTGGACATGTTTTTGTGGGGGCTGTCTGGAACCACTGGAGAAGACTGCACGAGCGCGTGGGTAAGATAAATAATTACAAAGCACATTTCATTGTAGGAATTTCTGTTAAAATCTGAAATTAAAACCAAGTTACCACTCGTAGTGGAAAGTGTGTCCGCAGTGAATGGCAGCAACATCTCTACAGTGATCAAAGAAATCCGAACAGATTGTGCAATAAGCTCGTATAGGCATCGTTTACGAGTCAACCTGTAACAAAACACAAGAGAACGTCATCAAAACAAAAAGGATCTCCTGTCTGCGTGTTTGTGTCCTTTCATAACGCTGCACAGCTAAAGCAGCAACCTAGCTAACAAAATAACACGCCACTTTACGGCCATCGTGCTTACCAAAGGAAGACGCTAGAGCTACATTACAACACAGACTAATGTAATAACATCAATCATCCCTGCTTTTATCTGTAAGGTTTTATTTAAACCAACTGAAGTCTCGATCATGAGGCAAAGCCTTGTTAGCTAACACAAGCAACATGCTAACGCAATCGAATCGTCTTTCTTCCCCGCTGGACGTTCAAACACAAGCTCCTCCCCTTACGCTGCGTTCACGGCCCCCCTGACTAGGTCGAAAACTCGATTAATTTCCTGTTGTTAAAAGATAACCGCTCTTGCAGTCATACGGCTTCTTACCTTATTACTTTATGTTATTAGGATTACTTTACGTTTAAAATATTACAAAATGAACGTGAACGCATTTCAATAATTTACAGTTTATGAGGATTTGCAAGAACTATGAAATTGACTAGCTTTTTCCAAACAATTCTACTAACAGGTTGCTGGAGAATTTGTGTCTCTTTTTTCTCAGATGCTGCATACATTTTTTAGCCTTGCATCTCAAGTAATTTATGTAATATTTATTATTATTATTATTATTATTATTATTATTATTATTATTATTATTATTATTATTATTATTACGTCAGTGGAAGATCCCGCCTTTCTCGCCTCTGATTGGTTAGAAATGCTCTACTGCGATGGGCTATTAGCAGCAAACCGTCTTCCTTCGCTAAGTGCAGACTGTCTTTTATTTATTTATTCATTTATTTATTTTCTTTATTGAAAGATTCGCACAATCCAGATTATGTACAATTCAGAGAACAATTCTTGGATACCGTGTACTTCTTGTACAAACAGTAAGGTAGAACATAGTCAACAACAACAAAATAAGAATAGCAAAAAATACATATACAAAAACTAAATAAGTAAGTGCAGACTGTCCTGCATGGCCGTTTCTTCCCATGTGCAACCAATGCTGTTGCAAAGGGGCCCCAAGCCACTAGGGGCCCTCAAAGCTGCTGCGGTTGTGTCGATGGTGACAAAAAATGGCTTTCAAACTTTACCGTAACTCTTCAACAGTTTGTGCAATCAACAGATTCTGAAAGCTGAGACGATGTACTTTCTAGTGGTATACAATACATTATGGTAATGTTACGCAAGTCCCTGCCCGAGAACCAGGAAATAAACTGACTTCCATACACCGTGCGCGTGATTTGGATTTCTGAGGGAGGAGTCCAAGATGGCGGACTGAGCAGAAGTCTTTTTGCAGGCTCCTTGAAACTAATCTGTTTTTAGCCAAACTGTTGCCACATAGTTGTAGTAGCCCACTTTTTTTGATCTTTAACTTCTCCACAACTGAACCCATTATTTCCTGTTTTGGTTTTTGTGGCGAGGGTGTGAGCTATCCCTGGGTTTTTGGCTCACTTTGTGCAACCGCACATGACAGATCACAACTATAATCTTCTGGCCCTCTGCGAGGCATGTGACAATGACGACGTGATTGAAGAAATTGAGATTAACGAGGATTCTTCTAAACACTGCCACTCCTAAAGAGCAAAAGGTTAACTGGAATCATACTCCCGTCAAAAACAAGAACGCGAAGAAAATGAAGGCGAGTAATGCCGCAATGGGAGATGACAACACAGCCTCCACCATTTTGCAAGCTATCCAAGAGCTTAACACAAAGATGGATAACCAAACTGAACTCATAAAAAACATCGAAAAACGTATCGAGATCATCGTTACCGCAATAAAAACCAACTCCGAAGCCATTAAAGAGCTACAATCCTCAGTTAAGTACCTCCAAGACGAGAACGCTAAACTCAAAGCCTCCTGTGAAGAACAAGCACGTTATAAACAGTGTTGGAACCTGATTGTTACTAGCTTACCTGAAAAAGAGGAGGAGAACGTTCGAGAAGTCATCATTGGAATTGTTACAAAGATTATTCTGATGTCGGTGGATCGGCTGTGGGCTGCGGTGGATACAGTGCATCGGCTGGGAAGAAGATAGAGCGCTGCAACCTCCAACGATCTCCCAAGAGCAATCGTCATACAGTTTGCAATGCGCACGATCCGTGACGAGGTCTGGAAGAAGTCCAAGGATGCGAGGGTCTGCCGGGATCTTCACATCAACTTTAGGGAGGACTATTCCAACAGACTCGCTCAGAGGAAGCTGTGGCTGATTGTCTAGGAGGCTCAGAGCAGGGGAAAACGAGCCTACTTGAGGGAAGGCTATGCACTGGTGGACAACAAGAGAGTGGACCCTGAATAGTTTACCCTTCCTGAACTTCGTCTTCCACGGGTATGTTTGAGACCGTCCTAGGGCTACTGCACGTTGACGTTATTGTTTTCTGTCTAGGTGCTTTTCTCTCTTTCCTGCACATTCTGTTATCCATTGTGCATTTACTATACCTTTTCAACATATGCTTTCTCTTCTATCATTGAACACTAGGGGTATCAAAGATAATGTTAAACGCAAGGCTATATTTCTGTTTTGTAAAGAACAAAAGGCTACTTGTTTTTTTCTACAAGAAACGCACTCTGCGAAAGAGGATGAAAGACTCTGGAAACTCCAATGGGGTGACTCTATGTTCTTCAGTCATGGTTCCTCTCGTTCTGCAGGCACGAGGATTTTGTTCCACAGATTTCCTAGTACCTTTTTGGATCACCTAAGTGACAGTAATGGACACTGGCAAATGGTGGTGACTGAACTTGAGGGAGTTACGTTTATTCTTGTTTGTATATATGGGTTTAACAACAGAGCTATTAACAAAATTCTGTTTACTGACCTGTGTGATAACGTAATTACCTGGAAGGCAAAATTTTTTGACAGATTTGGTAATCTTAGGTGGTGATATGAATGTGGTTCCGGATAATTCGGTTGATCGTCTTCCCCCTAGGGGACAATCTCATCTATTTGACGACATTTTTGTAAATGTAACCTCCAGAACTAATTTATTGGACTGTTGGAGACTCAAGAATTCGCATGCTAGAAAATATACATGGTTTAATGCTTCGAATAATGGACAATGTTCGCTTTTGGATTATTGGTTAATTCCCTACAGCTTGTTAAACAAAGTTTTAAAATGTGAAATTGATATTGCACCGCTAACTGATCACTGCTCCATTTTTTAACCCTTTCCCTACGGGCTGACAAACCCCCTTCAGTCTCCAATTGGAAATTCAATAGTAACCTTCTTCGTAACCCTGTATTCTGTGAAACAATCAAGAATTTTATTACAGATTTGTCTTCTCTTGATCTTTCTCCGCTGAATAAATGGGAATGGTTTAAATTGAATGTTAGGAAAATTGCAATTGACAATGGCAAACTGTTATCTAGGCACTCTAAAGATAAACAATTTCAACTCATTAATAATATAAACAGACTATATTCAATTCCAGTGCTCTCGCGCGACGAGAAATTACAGTTATAAACCTACAAAGGTTAATTAGATAATCTCTTCTTAGAAAAGGCACATGGAGCCTTTATCCATTCGAGGGCTCGTTGGATTGAAGAGGGGGAAAAAACTCTTCATATTTCTTTAACCTTGAGAAGCAGAGACAGATGAGGAAAAAATATCTAGATTAAATATTATTTGGCATATTACTGAAGATGATTCTTTAATAAGTCACACAATCAAGAACTTCTTCCAAAACCTATACTCTTCACATTTTTCAGAACTTAATTGTTCACATTTCTTCAACAAGATAGATGGCGACATTGACAAGATTGATTTAGACTTCAAACTTACCCTAGAAGATGATTTAACAATAGAAGAATCAGATAAAACTATTCTATTAATGGCTAAAGGGAAATCGCCAGGTCTCGATGGTTTAACTGTGGAGTTTTATACCTTTTTTTGGAAAGATATACGAACTATGCTATTTGATGCCTTTCGGGAATGCATCTCAAATAAAAACCTTTCACCCACAATGAAATGGGGGCTTATAACTCTTATTCCAAAAAGCAATAAAGATCCCCTGATTTTAGTCAATTGGCGTCCTATTACGTTGTTGTGCAATGATTATAAACTACTGGCTCTAGTCTATGTTAATCGACTTAATACTGGCCTAGATAAAGTTATTAATGAGTGTCAAACTGTCAGGATCTAGGGTGAGTCTGCACATTCTGATAATCAGCCTCAAGTCGTTGCAGGTGGGCGGCTCCGGAGAGTGGCCAACTGCTGTGCTTTTCCCCATCACCTGCCAGCATTTATAAGGAGCTGGAGATCACTTCACCTCTCAGGAAGATTACTCAATTTGGGAAACTCTGCCACTATAGTCACACCCTGCCACAGTTACAGATTATCCTACAGACCAACCTCAACCAACCTCAGCCATACTCTGGATCCATGTTCTGCAGATCTCCCTCCTCCAGGACCTAACCGCTCTCCCCCGCTCACCACCATGGATTACGTCTCAGGACCACCAATACCTCCGCCGCAGCTCACCCCAGCCCTGCCTACTCCTCCCATGCGCCTAAGCCAGCTCTCTACAACCCTCCCCCCTGAAGCGGTGCTCAGCGCCTTGGCTACTCACCATCATGTCTGTGGTGCACCCTTAGTTTCCTTATAATAATAAAGTTGTGTTTTATTTCTCCTACCTCCGTCTTGGTATCATTCTGCATGTCTTGGGTCAGGAAACTCCCCTCAGTCATGACACAATTTGCCTTTTTAAAAGAAAAAAATATTCATAATGATATAAGATTGATTTTAGATATGCTGGATTATAATCAATTTATTGATAAAGAGGGACTGATTGTATTTTTAGACTTCTATAAGGCATTCGATTCTTTAGAACACAAATTTATATTGGAAACCCTGAAACGATTGGGCTTTGGTCCTAAATTTTGTGACATAATCCGTATGTTTTATTCTGACATTACTAGTGCTGTTTCCCTAGGACGTGACATGACTTCTAACTTTCCAATGTCCAAGGGTATAAGGCACGGATGTCCGATCTCTCCAAAACTTTTCATTTTGGCTGCGCAGATGCTTTCCCAGTTGCTTATTCGTGATTCTATTCTAAAAGGTGTACATGTTCTAGGTAGAGAACTTAAAATTAGTCAATTCGCAGACGACACAGCTGCTTTTCTCCACGATAGGTCCATTGTTAATCTTATCGAGATGTTCTCAAATGCTTCAGGTCTGCTTCTCAATATTAAATGTGATATTCTTCCCATTCACTCGTGTACTGAGCACTTAATTGAAAATATTGAAGCGAAACACGAGGTTAAATACCTGGGAATTACTATTTCCAAAAATATGGTGTTAAGAG